TTTCATTTATACGACCAGACGAGGGCGAAAAAACCACGACGTTGGTAAACCCGCTAAATACGTTATCGAGCTGCTTTCTAATTCGAGTGTACGCTTCATCTTCTACAAAAGGTAAAAATAAAAATAAAAAATAAATAAAAATAAAAAGATGAAGAAGAGTGAAGTGGGGGAGAAAAAGGGAAAAGAAAATAGGATAAATGGTCGTGGTAGTTTTCACCGACTGTTTAACCGGAACAATTTTCCAAAGGTACATCGATCTCTAGTTAAGCTAACGCATAATTGAACGATTCTCGGGTCAGTTGCTCGGCCGATTCTATTTCGAGGATCGCGGAATGTTTTTTGGATAAGCCATTGGTCTCTCGTCAAAGACGCGGAAGAATTTTCGTCGACCGAAAATATCCGTCGTCTGGCGGAAAAAATTGTTCTGCTGCTCGTGCGATGGGAACAATGTTTGTCCAAGAGGCCTGTGTAATGTGAACTGCTACGTATCGTATATATACGTGAGATTGAACGATGAAGTAGCCGAGAGAGAATTCGAGCGAGCTGCATTCGCGTACGAAGAAACAGCGATGTTTCCATAAAGGGGTGGGAGGCAGTCGTAATCTTTTATATAGGTCGCAATCGATACCACCGCAGTCGCCCTCCCACAGAAACTGTTAAATTTCGTCTAATAAAGTAAATGAGACCTTGTCACATTTTCCCCTTTTTTCTCTCATTTTTGCAATGTTTACAGACATTATTTGTCTATCCTCTTGGTATCTTCCTGCCCGCCCGCCCTTTGGAACAGACCAGAAATTTCCCAATTTTTCGCCGATCGTTGTAAATTGTCGATGGTTAAAGTGATCGTTAAACGACATTTTGCGTACGTAATGTAATAATAGTACGGCGTAACAGCGGATAATTCAAAATAATTGCAACAGTTTGATGCGAATTTAATATCGGTTAACGTTAACGGAGCGCTGACGTACATCCTCGCGATATCGATGCACTTGGGCGTGCAGTTTTCGTGTTTAACGCGAAACACACGTTGAACAAAATATATGTTTAACAAAATACATGTTTAACAAAATATATCCAACAATGAACTAACCGACAAACGTTAACGTAAAAGGACGGTGGATTTAACAGGGGAATAGTAACCAA